ATATATATATATATATAGAGAGAGAGAGAGAGAGAGAGAGAGAGAGTTAAGGTGCCCTTTTAATATAAATTAATCTTTACCTGTTTATTTGCTCGTCGCGCGCACATTCCGATCAAGGATGATACGAATGACATAATGATAGCAATAACTTATTAAATTACTATGTGTAACGGCTGCAATACATGTACATGCATTATCATTAGTAATGCACACTTCCTGTAAAACTATTGATGAATTTGACATTTCATTTACAATTCTGTCAAATAATTTCCGTATATGAATATTCAATTCACTTATGAGACACTTACGAGGATACTCCGTGCGCATCCGCGTGACTGACACTGAATCGAATGAGCGAAGATATGTATATATATATTATGCACGTTCCTTTTTTTATTATTTTAACGGTGATAACTGCCATTGCGATTCATACACTCGGATGATACTTCAATCGACACTATGATGTATGCGCATGTTTTAAAAATATCTTCCACGGTTTTCGAATAGATCTCTGACAACTGCGTCATACTCAACACTCGTTATCATCTCTCGAGGAAACGGTTTTTAGCTCACGATTATAAACCTATGATACGATTAAAAATATGCGCATATTCTTTGGAATAACACAAAGTTAACGATAAGAACCAAACGCATCACTCAGAAATAAATACAAATACAAAAGTCTTTTGATTAAAAATATATATGTTTCGAAAAGATTCAGCATCTCTGCTCATTTAAGCAACTTTCAATTTAAAATTTAATGTATATATTTCGCAATATATTAATAAATTCACTTTAATAATAATAAAAGTTACTTTGATACATATATTTATTGTATTTATATGATTGAATCAAAAGATAACTCAAAAATTGGTTTAACATCTTCCATCTATGTATATATTTTTTATCATATCATACAATATCTCTCTCATTAGTTCAAACCAAAATATTTATTAATCAGCGTGAAAAAATATCAATCAATGAGTTCACGAAAATGTTACAGATGTGAATATGCAAACATCATTTCGCATCTATTTTAAAGATTATTTAAATTGCGATATTCATTTAAAAAGATGAGTGACTAATCATCAAAGTTTGTATATTTCTCTTAAAGCAAAAAGAAAGTACATTTGAAAAAAACGCGTTTTACTTCATATACAAGTATATTATTATACTTCTACTAATTTTCGTTCGCAAATATCGAAATTCGTCATTGAATTGTTTTCAAAACTGTTACATATATTTAAGTAACTTTTTTTCTTTTATATTTCATCTAATGAAAAAATACTGAAGATTTTATACAAAGTTAGTATGCACGTAGATGAAAAAATGAGATTCCTTTTTGCAATCGTGACAAAAATCATTTTTTAAAACTATCCATGCATATCATCATGTAACCCAAATGAAAGTATATCATCTAACGTGATATTCTCTAAAAATAGTTTGTACACATGTTAACAGCGCTAATATTGAGAAGTGACATTTCAAGTAAATTCACAGTTTTGCAATTAAAAATGAAAATGTATTGTGAATGTGTTAATTAACGCATTGTGAATTTGACATTAATAATGCTCGCACACTTAATAAAGACAAATATAACGGCATTCTGTCTACATTGTTAAAAGAAAAGTTTCTTCTTTTCTATAATATTACTGATAAGTTACTAACAAATCACCAATAATGTGTTGGATATAAAGTTAAATTTATAACGCTATTATTTAAAAGCTAAATCGATCATTAAGAGTTCGCCCTGTAACGCCAAGATTTCCTGACAGGCTATACATAACTTCGCTGAAACTACGGTCGTCGACATCTCCACTGGAATCGGATGTGGTTGTGTTGTGCGTACGTGAGCGTGATCGTGATCTCGATCTCGAGCGTTGTCGACCAAATAACGGTCCTCGGCCAATCTGGAATTTCAATAAAAATATCAGTTGTTTGTACTTGAGAAAAAGATCGTTCTTTAGAAATGGAAAAAAAAAATATATATATATATATATATATATTAATTTAAAGTAAAATTTAAGTAGGTTTAAATACCACATCTAAAGCTTGTGTGCTCTGCCTATATGGCGATCGTCCTCTGGGTAGTTGTCGCGCATTACCAATAGTCGCAGATGGTCGACTCTGTGCAAGAGTGAGTGGTCGCGGGCGTGCAGAAGTAGGTACGTATTCGCTCCCCAATGTACACATGAAATTGACGTTCGGAGCAGGAGTTAGCCGAGCCGTACTGTAATATAATATATCTTCAATATGATACTGTCACACATGGAAGAAGAATTAGCTTACAAAATTAATTCAACACAATAAATAAACAAAATATCATCTACTTCATTCTCATCAATTTCTGTTCATATTGCGCCCGTCTCTGTGCACGAGCAATTTGATCGGATCGCAGTCCACCGGTTGTGAAGCGACGTTGCGATGTTAGTATCTGTTGTCTTCCCAAGCTTCTCGGCTGCATCGTGAGTAGATTGGTTTTTTGTCCGGTCTGTGCCATCTGCAAATAGTTTATACGTACGTATTATGGATATTCATAGACTATTTTCACATGTAGAATACTCGTATACATGTCAGAATAATTAACTCACTCTGAATTGATTCTGCAAACTCAGTCTTTGATTCTGTCGTTGTAGCAGTAATTGTTTTGCTCGTTTCACACGATTCCTATAGGCAATCTGGGCGGGGCTTTGGTACCCCAGGCGATTGTGAACAGAATTCGGATCTCGCAAATTAGGCAAGCTGCTTGTTCGTTTCAGCGAGCTCTTGTTATTTGTGAAGAAACCGCCGTGATTAAATGTCAAATTCGTGCGACTACGGCTGCGAGTCAGACCGAATCTGTTGCCTCTGCCACGACGAATATTGAACGTGCCACCTCTCGCGTTATTCGCTTTATGATTTAGGCTCAAATTGCTCCGCGATCTCACGAGATTACCATTCTTTTTGAAGCGATTTCGAGCGAAACCACCGCGAACATTACTCGCAGTATTCGCATTACGTTGCCAACTTTGCTGTTGCTGTTTCTTCAGGATAGCTCCGACATTGCGCTTGATTCTCGTACCTCTTCCTCTAAATCCACCCCGGCCTCGTACGGCACCACGATTACGCTTGGCGCCGCCGGTTTTTCCGTTGGTCGCCGCATTCTTTTTCTTTTTCTCCATCTTTATGATCTCATCTTAAAAGGAAGAAAACGCGCAACATTTAATGAGCATACAGCACAGCAAACGTATGGTGATGGGAGCTTATCTTTGCGAAACTTTTAAGTCGAGACACTTAAGGCTAGATCTTGGCACTCTAGACGTGTCTCTGACTCAAGAAATGCAATTTCCCAAATAAATATTGAATGATTATATCGGCCGCTGAAGAAGTTGCTGAGAAGAAATATCATCGTATTCATAATTCTAAAGATCCTTGCCTGCAAATATTCTTGTATAACCTACATAAAATGCAATTCTTGCGGATATCTTTATATTGTATAATGATTAAATTTTCATAACAAAATTAAAAATTGAAAAATTCGAATCATAATAATAAAAATCATAATCGAAATTAATAATTTCTAAAATCATAAAAAGCTAATAAAAAAATAGAAATGTCAAATATATTTCGAGGAAAAAAATTGAAAATTGTTCGCCACTGTTTTTAAATATAATCCAATGTTAAAAACTAACGATTCAATGAAAAATACAAAATTAGAATGTTGCAAAAAAAAAAGCGTCTGGTGTTTGTAACTTGCGTTTAGAAAATATTTAAAATATATTTAAATCAATTTAATATGTAGTACAAATTCTATATCACATTTTGATTTTCAATGATCATTTTATCCCCATTCATAACATATCTGCTTTATAGACCACCTCAAAGTGGTGTGCAATTGAGAAACAGACACTGCAGTTCATAATTCTCCACTAATTTGCAATGTTGCTTCTTAGGAATTTTTACATTGTACTTCTTGCGAATTGTGTTTTTATTCTGTCTTCTTTAACATTCTCATGAATTGAACTGCCAACAGTGATTCTTCTTGTCGATGATTTCTTCCACTCGAGTATTACCCCTTGTCATTACATTTCAGAAGACTTTTAAGGAAATTGCATAAATAATTGCCATCTCGATTGATATAAATAAGTAATTTGTAAGTAAATATTCCTCCCCTGGGATTATTTGTATGCATGAAAGATAATAAAATCTCCAAATATTATCAGTTTGCCTACTAAAGTACCTGCATTTTCAGATATCGCCAGTAAAATATTAATTTATTTTATATTGTTAGTAGAATGCAAATAAATTTCGAACAGTAGTGCTGCGAATCGAGAAGACGAGATTTAATTCGTCGTTTGATTCTCGCACCACAGGCCTCCCATTCACATTCGGCGTAGCGACAGTAGCGAGATAAAAATGAAACTAATGTTTCCCGAGTCTATGAGCCTTCTATAGCAGATAATGTTGCGTCAATATACATATCACGCGAGAGTCCCATTTCCCATACTTGATATTCGTTCGTCGAATAAAAGCTGCGATGCAACGGATAAAAATATGGGCTTGCGCAAGCTCTGGACCTCTCCCACACGTAGACGAAAGAAATTTTTGTAAAGGATGAGTCATGATTGCGATGTGCTTGGCACAGCATTCCTTTCTTACGTCACCCTTTTTTTTCCTCAAGATATACCAAAGATATACTAAAGCAAAACCACATCTGAAATCTTATTGATGCTTTAGCAATGGTGATTTTTATAATAGACGATGGCTTCTAACAAAAATTAATCGGAAAATTGGCAATGTACATTGCGATGAAATGTTTATATCAATAGCAGCATGATTCATGATCCTTCGATTGCGAGTTTCACTTCAACTTCCTTTCTGTAATTCGATCATCTCATGCTATCTTGTTCTCGCTACCGCGAAGATTCGTCGTTGCGTGCACGTCGAAAACAAAAGGGTGTTAGAAAATTGCATTCTAATGACGATAGTCCATTATTCCGCACATGATTAAAGAAAAAATTGGGCATAATATGGATTAACAATTGTTGATTTATATATGACCAAGAAGTATTGATTCAGAAGGTACAGATGCGGCCGATGTAAAAATGTATCATTTATCATAATTTGGCTAATCCCATAAAGCAATCTCAGGCACAAAAATTCTCAGTACATGCTCTTGATTTTGATATTCATATCAAGTTCCCTGTTGCGCAATACAATATCTTCCTGTGATATTGCGAACAATCGCAAATACAATTGTTTTGGATGAATGTGATATAGTTTCTTGCATAAAATCCCAAAACAGCTTCTCATTGAGGTATATATATTTCCTGTAAATTTCAATTCCTTCAAGCAACCATAAAACACAATGAATTGTGAATATAAGAATATAAGATGCTCCATATAAAATCCTGTTGAAAATTCTTAAATTGCTTTTAGTTTTTTCAATTATGTTCAATTTTCTTCAAAGTACCTATATCTTATATAGCGATAATAGTGATGATAGTGATTTCTTCTTGAGACAATCATATGAAATATTATTTAAGGTAAACTTGACAATAAATCTACTCATTTCTCATTATTTGAATCAAATTTTCTATTTATGCATTCGTTTTCCTCTTTCAAATAGTCAAATAGATTACGAACTATGTAGCCATAGAATCGTTCAGGATGAATGTGGTTTCCATATCTGTTTCGCTTTGTTTTACTTTTTCTTCCTTCTTTCTCCTTCCTAATTGAGAGTTCATGTGCAATCGCTATATTGATGAAGCATATCATTAAATTAGGTGAAAAATATGAAAAACTTTTCTCTTCTATCTGTATTTTTCCCTCTTGAAAAGCAACTTCAACTTCTCCCAATCTTACTTTAACAACGTGTTATCGCGTCCATCGATCATTCTTGTGAGCATGGTGATTCTATTCCGTCGTTCCCGTCTGTCGATGTCCTTTACGTACTAATTGCGATGTCCAGAGGGTGGAGGTAAAACGAAAAACGACGTCTTCTGGAGATGAGAGCGAACAAATGCAGGTATTCTATATACATGTATATATGCGAAGCACGCGCGCACACTGACGCCATTTTCTCGAATTCCAACGCCAACGCGAGGGGGACGGGGGGACTCTCAACGTGCTATGGGCTCACCCGGGATTACTGGCAAAATTGTACGACTGTCGGGACTCTGGCGACTTACCGAGCGACATGTTCACTTTCGCATCAATCTCGGCCATTTTTGCGCTTCTCGCGCTCTCCTCACTCTTTCTCTTTGTCTTTTACGTTAGTCCTGTTTCCGAGAACGATGCCAAGATCTTGCCGTTTACGTCTTATTCGGTCGATTCTTCCTGGTTGTTGCACGACACGCGCCGATTGTCCGCAACTAGCGATCAACGAGACGAATCGAGTCGACAACGCGACGAATACGTGAAACGCGTGAATATAACACGACGAACGAAAGCGACCGAAATGACGAAAGCTTATTACTCTAGTCTTCTGTACATATGTAACCTGTGTTTACAGCGCCTCTACAAAAGAATAAGGTTGAAGAGAACTAAACAGGTCCGCCATTTTATCTTCATCTAAAAGAGAAAAGATGAGTGACTTCGAGATTTAGATAAAAAAGAATAGCTATAGAGTCTATTTATAAAGAGAATTGTTTAAAATATCTTTATGCCCATATTGTACTAGAGATTAAAATTGATAACATTCGATTCGCTGACTTCGAGTCGAGTCGAACATGAGAAAAAAAGAGACAAAGAGAAAAAGTGATACCGGAAAAAATAAAATAAAAAGAGATAGAGCTGAGTCGAATGGGTCAATCAGCAAGTTGAAAAAACACTATAAGATTAGTTTAGCATTTGACCAATCCAAATAAAGTTCACTAAACTCGAAAATGGCTTTCTTCTTTTTGATTGGTCAAATTCTAATCTAATTTCAATCACCAATCTTTAGGCTAATTTAAATTTAAGTTTAAAAATTTAAAAATTTAAGTTTAAAAATTTAAAAATTTAAGTTTAAAAATTTAAAAATTTAAATTTAAAAATTTAAAAATTTAAAAATTTAAATTT